TAATAATAATAATAATAATAAAAAATTTTCTTTTTAAATTCGAAGTGCTATAATAATAATAATAATAATAATAATAAAATTTTCTTTTTAAAATAATAATAATAATAATAATAATAATAATAATAATTTCTTTTAAATTGAAGTGCTATAATAATAATAATAATAATAATAATTAATAATAATAAAATTTTCTTTTAAATTGAAGTGCTATAATAATAATAATAATATTTTAAATTTTCTTTTAAATTGAAGTGCTATAAAAATAATAATAATAATAATAATAATAATAATATTTTCTTTTAAATTGAAGTGCTATAATAAAAAATAATAATAATAATAATAATAATAATAATATTTTCTTTTTAAATTCGAAGTGCTATAATAAAAAAATAATAATAATTTTAATATTTTCTTTTAAATTCGAAGTGCTATAATAAAATAATAATAATAATAATAATATTTTCTTTTTTAAGTGCTAATGCTATAATAATAATAATAATAATAATAATAATAATAATATTTTCTTTTAAAAGTGCTATAATAATAATAATAATAATAATAATAATAATAACAAAAATTTTCTTTTAAAATTGAAGTGCTATAATAATAATAATAATAATAATAATATAATTTTAAATTCGAATAATAATAATAAAATAATTAATAATAATAATTTAAATTTTAAATAGTGCTATAATAATAATAATAATAATAATAATAATAATAAAATTTTCTTTTAAATTGAAGTGCTATAATAATAATAATAATAATAATAATAATAATAAAATTTTCTTTTAAATTGAAGTGCTATAATAAAATAATAATAATAATAATAATAATAATAATATTTTCTTTTAAATTGAAATTTTAATAATAATAATTTTAAATTTTGAAGTGCTATAATAAAAATAATAATAATAATAATAATAATAATATTTTCTTTTAAATGAAATAATAATAATAATAATAATAATAATAATAAAATATTTTCTTTTTAAATTGAAGTGCTATAATAAATAATAATAATAATAATAATAAAATAATAATAATAATAATAATAATAATAAATAAAAATTTATAATAAAATAATAAATTCGATATGCTATAATAATATTTAATAATAATAATAATAATAACAATATTTAAAAATTCGAAGTGCTATAATAAAATAATAATATTTTAAAATAAAAGTTTTATAATAATAATTTAAAATACGAAGTGCTATAATAATAATAATAATAATAACAATATTTTTAATAAAATAATAATAATAATAATAATAATAAATAATAAAAATTGAATAATAATAAAATAATTTTCTTTTAAATTGAAACTATAATAATAATAATAATAATAATAAAATTTTCTTTTAAATTGAAGTGCTATAATAATAATAATAATAATAAATAATAATAATAATAATAAAATTTATTTAAAATTTGCTATAATAATAATAATTTTAAATTCCTTTAAATAATAATAATAATAATAATAATAATAATAATGAAGTGCTATAATAATAATAATAATAATAATAATAATAATAATAAAATCTTTTAAATTCGAAGTGATAATAATAATAATAATAATATTTTCTTTTTTAAATTTGATTGGTGATGGAAAGTGTCGTGAACAGATCTTCAAGAAAGTGGTGACCCTCTGAATACTTAAAGCCTTACCAAATGAGTTAGACAACTGGGGGTGAGCTTCTGATCGTGTGCATTAACAATTAGGCCCTGGACACTAATCATGAATACCCGCTCTCAAACTGCTGCAAATCAAAATATGAATGTTTCTAAATCTGATGAGCATGTTCAACCATTCAAACCAAACCATAACAAAGTAAACAGCGGACAAAGGAGGAATATGTGGAAGTTATTTATACACATTGTTTTGCAACGTTACACTCAAATATAAGAAGCAGTCCAAAAGAAAATAGAAACATATGCAAAACAAGAAATGCAACATCTCAATCCGGCAAAAGATGACTTCGTGCGGAACTGTACATATCACCCGCAAAACTCTTTCCATCTAAACAAAACGTCCCAAATGGGCATAGATAACACTCCTACAGTACCCTTTTTACTCACAGACCCCAAAGAGGGGCTTGGTACTTAAAATTACTCTCTGGCAAGATAATACCACAGTCAGTTATGTGCCATGCAGGATACACACTTAAGCGATCATGTATCTTTCGATACATGACTGACGAAGCAGTTTTTTTTCCTGGAGTAGGTTACCATTTCTTTCTGCGGTAGACCAGTTGCCATCCAAGGCTATAGAGCCCGGTCTGTCCCTGTCTGTCTTCTTCCCCCATAGCTGGGGAGAGAAAAAGAGCCATACGTTTCCCAAGGGTATTAACTCTAAGTTAGTGAATGTAATGGATTCGACTGGAATTCGAACTCGGCTCTCCAATTCCTCAATCCGAGCCGCTATCCATTACTCGACGCAAAACAACAACAACATTATTATTATTATTAATAATAATAATAATAATAATAATTTTGTACATTTTGGAGATATGGCTGAGGTTTTGCATTGGAAACTTTATCAAATATTTTGTATTTTAGCAGATTAATGTTGTTAATCATGAGAGGGTCTACGATTAAACATTTAATGAGACATGAAGATTAAAGTGAACAGTTTTCAGAATTTGTGCTCAGCAAAGAAGATAGAATTTTTTTTTATTTTATTACCGCCGTTTGATAACAGAGTAATCGTGGAAGAAAGACAGATCATTGAGAATTATACAAATCTAAAGTGCGAAAGAAAAAGAAAATAGAATTATAAAAAGGTATAGACGGTGTCTATTGTAATCGGAGAATTAGGAACAGTGTCAGAGAATTTTGCACATTCGTTCAATGCATTAGATTTACCTGTGAGGTTTTATGTGTCACAGAACGCCTGTTTACTTGGCACAGCACAAACTATCAGAAAAGTGCTGGATACCTAACGCTGAGGCTGCCAAGCAAATAGTTGGTAATACACTTAATCGCTGACCATATGAACAGACTAGACTATTCGATCTAAAGGTAATTCTGATTGAACCTTATCTACAAGTATACGCGCTGCTTTTCTCAAAATATGACCCCAAATAGCACTCAACTGGACGTGATGTGTGCGCCTGGTATACGCTTATTATTTGTGCCCCGGTTCTCGTCCGATTACAGAAGTTATGCAACGTCAAATCTAGTCAGTACCTAGATGGATGACCGTTTGAGAATACCGGATGCTTTCAGTATGGGAGTGCGTGTGGTGTAATGGGCAAGAGCTTGCGATGAAAAATCGTGGAGCTGATTTCGAATTACAGTGGGGTTCGTCACCTTCCCTTAGGTGCTAGTACTCTTGGACGATCATGAATCGAAAAGAGACATTTTGTCTTAGGTGTGTCATATCCGTGTCGAGTAAAACGCCAGAGGTCAGGGTGGTAATCTAATAGCCTATTCCTCTCCACGAATGTGTTGAAGACCTACGTCCAATAAAGGACTGTGGCCTAGTGAGAAGAATGTATTTGTAGTCGAGTCATACTTTTTCTTTAGCCTGCTGCTCCCTCACCCTATAGTAATTTAGTAAGCGTAGCCCAGTTGTGGCACAAGGCCGACAGTATGGAGCACCAAGTGAAGATCGAACTCACTACTCAGCCGTAATTGATCTAGCGAGACAAGCTTGCTAAGCATTACACCACTTATTGATCTGCTATCTCTCTATAGTAATTTACAAAGCGATATTATGGAGCGCCCAGTGAGGATCGAACTCACTAATGTGAGATAAGAGACAGTTCTCCTTTTTGGTTGTGAATGCTGAACATTTTTCAAGAGGAAGAAACGACCTGAAGCAACAGATGAATGTTGAGAATACCTTACACTGAACATGTGAGCAACGACGAATATAGATAGATAGATAGATAGATAGATAGAGAGAGAGAAAGAGACAGAGAAAGAGACAGAGAGAGAGCAAATAAAAGGGAGAGGAAAAGCTTGTTAACCCTTACACCATGTCGAAGTACCCTGCTCACTCATTCTATCAGAATTCTATAAATCTATAGAGGTTTGTCGATTTATTTATTTATTTTTTTTTTAAAGAAGCCGGTTCTTTAAAATATTAAGAAGCAAGTGTCATGAAGACTGTAATAAATGATGTTTTAATTTATATGAAGTGTTTAATTGACTTGGTTCTTTAATAGGATTATTAATTTATTAAATCTCAACTATTTTCGCCTAACAAAAGACAATGAAAGACATAACTAATGCATATACAATGAAAGACATAACTAATGTACAAACGTTGATTACATAATTTAGCATATTTTTAATCAGAGGGAATTATGCACAAGCACGTGTTTTTACAATCTGCTCCTATTCAAGTACACACATGCAAGCGGGCTTCATACCGTCTATCTATGTATTTATGCAAGTACATAAAATAATGAATGTCGAACTTTGACATGGTTAGCAAGAGCATCTCTCCAGTAGTTTAACATTGCCTGAAGAGACACATTTTTAATGTTGAGACAATTATAACTGTGTAGCGATTTTTATAACATATTTTAATATCCTAAAATAAATAATATTTAGCTCTACTCTGTATTGAGCCCGCTTTTAAATTAAATGTTACGTAGAATAATGTTCAATCTGTTCTCATTTTACCTGGATATATATATATATATATATATGGTGGACTCTCCCGTCGTATTCGACGTATGGTGGTCAAGCAGCTCAGTTCCTAGACAGCCCGGACACCAACACATATAATTTGATTATAGTGATTTTCCAAGAGTAGCTTAAATGTGACACAAGGCCAAAAGTAAAGGGACCCAGTGAGAATCGAACTCACTACTCAGTCGTAATTATTCTAGCGAGACAAGCTTGATAGCCATTACGCTACGCTGAGGTGCCCATATAATATGATTATAGTGGTGAAGAACTTTGTACAGAAATAACCACAAATTTTTGAAGGGCCGAATACAGAGAGACCTGGTGCACTACGTGGTACAAGGTCCACAAACGACCCTGCGCAGCTTTTTGAATTCAGTGTTGTCCCAGTCTGTCCTGCTATTTACCCATAGCTGGAGGGAGAATAAGAGGATTAATACCTTTCCCAAGTGTATTTGCACGTAAGTGAAAGTAATGGATTCGTCTTCCTCAATCCGAGCCGCTATCCATTACTCCACCATGTCTCTCCATCTCTCTCTCTCTCTCTCTCTCTCTCTCTCTCTATATATATATATATATATATATATATATATATATATATATATATAATATACATTCTATTTTAATCTGTTCATACATTATCTATCTATCTATCTATCTATCTATCTATCTATCTATCTATCTATCAGGAGGACTATCGTGGAGAGAGCAGTATTTGATTACAACTAAAATCACCTGTTTTTAAATTTTAAAAAGGCTCGTTTTACTTTGTTTTAACGAAGAAGGAGTAAATATAATTTTAGAAAGAGAAATTGATCTTCGAAACTTCAAAAGTATATTTTCAGTGCATGGTATAATCCTATATTTATATGTAAGAGCGGGTGCTGAAAATTATTGTCTCGGCTCACTTTCCAAAATCTATAGCGTCTATAGCGTCAGAATAAGGATTTGGTAAAGTGGGTCAACCCGACACTTTTTCAATAGCCCGTCGTATATTGCTTCAGATATTAAATGACATACAATGATAGCGCGTCTCTTAAAGAAATTGTCAAAGTGCTTGTCCAATTGAATCGGATATTCTATGAGCTCCAGTCGGATTCGATGTCACCGCTATCTTCTTTGTTCGTTTGTTGTTCCAACTTGTCTGTATCCGTTGGCGTGGCATGTCACGCATCAGGCAAAGAAAAGAAAAAAAAATTGAGTGAAGTCCAACCTACCCAAGGGCAAAGGCAAAAAGGAAAAAACAAAACAAAAACAAAAAAAGAACCAACGTAAAGCGTGTGATATACCCGTGTTATATATATATATATATATATATATATATACGTTGTGCATTTAGGCAGCAATCCCTCTTTTATACATGTTTCGTTAAAGACGACTCACAAGTTAGTGCGGTAACGTTTTATTTAATTATTCTTTTCAGGACGCAAATGTATAAAAACTGTCCAAATATTTTACCTTTCCTCGCGCCTTCGGCTGTAGCCATTATCAAGAACGATTTTATTTTTACTTTTTAACCGAATTAATGGGCTGTGTGTATATATCTAGAGTTATAGGGATGTTTTATTTTCCAAACACAATCAGCACATTGTGGCAGTGTTCGCAGTTAACGTTATTGTGTGTTACCATTTTTTTTATTATTAAGGCTTCCATTTTTTAAAAATCTATTTTTACGCATGGATGAAGTTATTATGCTTGTATTTTCTACTAGTATGTTTCAGAAGGAGCTTTTTAGGTTTTGTGTTTGTGTTTAAATGATTTCTAATGGAGCTGTGGTTGGATAGATGTAACGTAAGTCGTCTGGATAGGCATGTAGTAGTATGACCGATGTTATTATTTGAGTTCGCTTTGATCAGAAACACAGTTCGTTAAGGGGCATGTGAACTCGTAAATAATGTTGGTTCTTTTTAGTTTTGAATTTGCAAGGATATTGTTTCTTTTTAGGATAAGATTAGCTGTTTTGAATTTTTTGTAATAGATAAAAATTTAATTTTTTTGTTTGGTTCAACTGGTGTAGTGTATTTCTTTGTATTTCTAAGTGAAGATTAATCTTGCTAATAGTTGACGTGTATTTGGCTTTTGCTGAATATATTTATGTTATTGTTTTTGCCTGTGTGTTCAGTATCGTTATTATTTATTTTGGAGAGAAATAGTCGAATCTGATGGTCGATGAGGTAGTTAGGAAAACCATTGTTAACTAATGTCTGTTTGCATTGTTGAGTTCTTTAAAGAAATACATATATATTGGAGTTGTTTTTTCTGTTTTCTTTTTGAATTTGTAGGTCTGATGAATTGGATCGTATTTACGATTCCAATGGAATAAATTATGACCATGGAATATTAGTGTTTAAGCCTTTTTATTATATCCTTACTCTGTCCCGGACATAGAGTTCTACCTGGATTCTATCCTCTTGGAATTTTTTTATTAAAATATATATATGTATGTGTATGCATGTATGTATATATATTTATATATTTTGCATATGTATGTGTATATTTACCACTAATATATATATATATATATATATATATATATATATATATATATATATATATATATATATATGTTTCTAAAGAAGGATGCTGGGAATACTGAGAACCAAACATGTGAGCAACGGCGAAGTTTTAGAGAAAATGGAAACAAACATGACCCTTATACTTAACACCAGGAAGAGACAGTTGAAATTTCTAGGGAACATAATGATGAAAAAAGGCTTGGAAAATCTAATACTCACAGGATAGATTGAAGGCAAGGGAGACAGAGGAAGACAACACATAAGCTACCTGGAAAGCCCGAGTAAATGAATCGCAGAACAAGTTTTAGGGGATATAGCAAAAAGACAAGATTTATTACGAGTTAGAAATGAGACGAAATTCTGGAGATCCATGATCGTCAAAGCCCTGAAGGGACAAGGCATATAGAAGAAGAAAAAGAAGAAGAAGAAGAAGAAGAAGAAGAAGAAGAAGAAGATTATATAAACGTAACTTTCTCTCCGATATTCTTTCTTTTTTTTTTTTTTAAAGATTGACACATCCTAATTTCTTTATGCCAATATTTCGTCTCATTAAGTTGTTTATATGTGTACGATCGTCGATAAGAGTATACGGTTCTATTACCCTGAGCAATTTTCCGCATGAGAGCGTATATATGGGTGTGTCCGTGTGTCCGTTATTCAACGGTATTCATTTGAGAATATTAGCTGTACTTTAAAGAAAGGTGGAGAAAATGAAGGAATGAAATCTAAGAGAGAGAGAGAGAGAGAGAGAGAGAGAGAGAGAGAGAGAGAGAAAGAGAGAGAGAGGCGGGGGAGGAAGGGAGGGAAAATAAAGGAAAGAGTGAAAGAGAGAAAAAAATACATGTGCGCTGTAAATAAAGTTGTTAAAAATATAATGGGAAATAAATATTTGTTAAATAAAACAGATTTTTTTTCACCTAATCAGGTTACACCTTCTGCACTAAATGTGTGTTGATGTCGCTAGAGATTGAATTACAGATTTGGTTTCTCACTGTGAATTACATAAATGTATCTTTATGGAAGCCATTGCCATTGGGCAAATTGCCATGACATAGAAAGTATATATATATATATATATATATATATATATATATATATATATATATATATTAAATATCAAGCACTTAAAATCCATATAATTTTTAATGTTTTGATAATACTTTCTATTACCTGGGATTTTAACGTTTGATTAATTTAATTTGCTTTTTTTTGACATTGAGCTCTCCTGGATCTCTATCCTGCTGGAAATTCCATACGGAATATATATATATATATATATATATATATATATATATATATATATATATATATATATATATATATATATATATCAATATGCGAATATAATAAATAATAATGTATATATATATTACACATATATATATATATAAATTTATATCCCATATAGGTATATATATATTATATATATATATATATATATATATATATATGTTTTGATATATAAAATCCGGTGTTCTTATAGATATTTTTATTTTGGGATTTCAATGTAAATTTGATTAATATTATAAATTTTGATTTAAAATCTTTTTTTTTTTGTTCCAAACATGTTTCAAAATGAGCTAAAACCTCGAATTTACATTGATCTCCCTATTCTATCCTGCTGGAAATTCCATACGGAATACTTTATTGTATCATTACTATATATATATATATATATATATATATATATATATATATATATATATATATATATATATTTGCTCAAGTACCATGAATATAATATATAAATAATAATGTATATCATATATTACACATACATATATATATATTTATATTTATATACACACACTCTTCACACACACACATATGTATATATATATATATATATATATATATATATATATATATATAAAAAAAAGAAAGAACAGTAAGATATAAAATCCGGTGTTCTTATAGATATTTTTATTTTTACAAAATAGTGCTCAATGTAAATTTACAGAGCATTAATATTATAAATTAATTGATTTAAAATATGTTTTTTTTTGCTAACAGTTTCAACCATGTTTCAAAAATAGAAGCTAAAAACCTCGAATTTAATTTTGCAATTAAATTAAAAGCATTAGTTCCATTTCATCTTCAAGCGAATTTTGGAGTAACTTTAAAAAAAAAAAAATTCAGACGACATCCATTCAACTGATGTCAGGTTTCATTGTAAAATATATCCCTACCCTTACCAAATTGTAGAAGCTAATAACTGATACAATGATACTGACATAAGGAAAATCTAGACATCCCTTGTTCAATTTAAGTAGAATATTCTGTAACCATGGAAACGTGATTTTAGCTGTGTCTTTAAAACCCGGTAATTTTTAAAAGTTACTCCAAAATTCGCTTGAAGATGAAATGGAACTAATGCTTTTAATTTAATTGCAAAATTAAATTCGAGGTTTTAGCTTTATTTTTGAAACATGGTTGGAACTGTGTAGCGAAAAAAAAACATATTTTAAATCAATTAATTTATATATATATATATATATATATATATATATATATATATATATATATATATATATATATATATGTATGTATGTATGTATTAAGCATATTTGTGTAGCAGTTGTTCTTTTAAACATATATTATTAAAACAATATGTGTTAAAAGCTTGAAGCAGCACTATTCGTATTTTGGCCAGTTTATCTACACACAACATCCTCATTCGTGAAATGATATTTGTACATTCGTTGAAATGATAATTATAATAGATACAATATGTTTGGTGGCTTCAACAATATATTTGTATATATTTTATGTGCGCTATAAAGTGAAAAACATGAAGATATGTCTACTTATCATTATTTAAATTCTGGATGAGAATTTTATTCCTACATTGCCTAAATCATTTTTATGCAATATTTTATAATTTAGAGGTTTTTTTTTTATTTTTTAAATAACCATGTTTAGTGATCTCCATCATTAGTTCATTAGCATTTTGGCTCTGTTCCAAATTAATCTAAACATTCTAAATACATGAATATATTCCGGATCTTTGGGGTAAATTTACATGAAGGGTTCTTATCTGAAGAGTCATATTCCGTTTAAATCTTCTCTGTTTTTCTGCTTATTTTCTTTAATAATCTTTAAGTACAGAAAAATGCTTTTATATTAATGTGGTACGTAGAGATTTTTTGTTTCTTTATCTACTAAGTCGTTTAATTTGCTGCTTTAATGCAGGTATTTTTCATCCATATAACTTTGCAAATACAAATAAATCCAGAACGACACTCATTATAGTCTATCCAAAAGCTTCTCTCAAAATGTCATCAAGCTACACTTCACGATTATTGGCTCACAAATCCGACAGAAATGTTTTCAAATAAAATCGTGTTCTTTTTCACAAAAATTCACTTTCTGATAGTAAGAGAGTTTCTTGAGATTAATTGTAGTCAACATTGATTTTGTGAAAAAATTAATTATATTTTTGGAACCATTTGAATCAACATACCTTCTTCTATATGTGCTGTATCCTTTCAGAACTCAGATGATCATGGCTCTCCACAATTTCCTGTCCTATGTAGCTCTTAACAAATTTCGGTTTTTCGATATTCCTCCTAAACCCTGTTCCGCCATCCATTTACTCAAGCACATTTTGTGCGCTGTTTTTCCTCTGTCTCTCTTGCCCTCAATCTGAGTATAAGATTTTTCTGAGCAGTATGTTCCCAGAAACATACAGACACCCGGAAAGAGAATAATACATTCAAATCATCATATGACCACATTTTAATATTAAATGATTAAGTACAAGTTTGACGGTTATTAGGAAAAACTATCTATCTATCTATCTATCTATCTATCTATCTATCTATCTATCTATCTATCTGTATAAAGTGTCCCAGAGATCTGGAATGCGTTAAAAATTTCTTTTTTTTTTTCAAATTAAGAAGCGTTGTAGAAACGTTTACTTGAAAAAGGTCACTTGTAAAAATCGAGATAATTCACCTATATGACAATGCCATTCCTTTAATTAGGACACTATTTCAGTGTTTCAAAGATTCAGGAATATTAAATCAAACACGTGTATTTCTACAACATGTAACGCCTGTGAAAATGCATCTAATGAATAGCAAGAATATTAATTTAAAAAAATACTTACAACTGAACGAATTTTTCACTGAATAAGATATTTTCTCCATTTTATGATATTGCCAATTTTTTGATTCTTGTAAACCATTTCCTTGACGAAAGTGTTGCTAATCTAAATTAAATTCTTTGCATTTCATCTTTAGTATCAGAATAAACCAGCGAAGTTTTTATAATATTGAAAACAAATTATTGTGGATCTCATAAAAACATTAAGAAACCAATTTTGTCCAAATTGTCTGTAAGATTTTACTCAATTTACTGAAATAATATTCACCTGTACGTAGTTAATCCGATGCATTGAGTGCATTAACAATGACATTTAGTTCGAATATAAAATAACTTCACGTGTAGAATCCATCAAATAATATATATATATATATATATATATATATATATATATATATATATATATATATAGTCGCGTTTCATCCTCTGATTTTTCCTTTTGTCTTTATTCACAGACACAGCCACAGACACACACACACACACACGCACACACACACACACACGCACACACACACACACACACACACACACACACACACACACATATATATATATATATATATATATATATATATATATATATATATTTCTGTGGTTGGGTTAAGTGTTTCACACTTTTTTGCTCGTTCATCCATGGAATAAAGTGGTTGATTTGAACAGCATATACCATCTTTAAATGAATCCAACTATTATTGCAGACCAGTTAAAATTCATTGGTAGTAAAAATCTCAAGAGTACAATAAATGTCATAGTAAAAGTAGGTTTGGTGTCATTCTCATGGTTTGAATTAAATTAAACAAAAGAAAAAAAAATCTACAAAACTTATTTGAAATCAGAAAAAAAGACATTCTACACAGAAATATCAGAATATTAAAAAAAATAAAAAAATACATTATTTCCTGGCTAAGACGAGTCCTGATTTTCAGGACTAAACCCATTCTAATATTTAATCGTAGACTAACTATTTGAGAATATAGAAAACCATATTGAACGTTGGATTGCGCTTTCAACCAGATTGCTAAACTTGCAAATCCAGCTCCGGGAGCAGAAAACGTAAGAGCAGAAAAAACTTTTAAGTGATAAAGCCGGAAACGTTGATTTTTAATATATAAAATATATATATATATATATATATATATATATATATATATATATATATATGTGTGTGTGTGTGTATATATATATATATATATATATATATATATATATGTAATACTACATGAAGATTGCGTTATGAATGAAACATGTAATGTAATGCTATCGGTGAGGAATATGTATATTTACTAATATGTACTTACCAACTCTGTTGCATTTCATTGCGCACTGTTTTATTAGCTAGCATTACAGCATTATATATATATATATATATATATATATATATATATATATATATATATATATATATATATATATATATATAGCCTATCGTCCGCTTCATAAACCTCGCGGATTTTCTGAACAGAAATAGAAGTTCCTGTTTTGTATCATTTTAGGGTTGGGTTTCCGGTTCCTTCAACTCTTTACCCCTAAAGTCTCCGCGTGAACTCTGAAATTTTAGTCGTGAATTCATTTTTGGTTCTTGCCATGTTAGGACGTTTTTCTTGAAATCCTTTTGAATGAAGTGATCGATTGATTTTATTCTTTATTGATGAACAATTTCGCCGGGAGCAAAAATTAAAATTGTACACTCTGTGACAAGACATGCATGAATCATACTATAACGGTGGTGATAATAATAATAATAATAATAATAATAATAATAATAATAAAGCGAAAATATCGTGGAGGAAGTAAATGACTCTTGTGCCTACTGTTGTTGGAGAATTCAGAAAATCCTTAACAGCCTTGCAAAACTTGCAAAGAGACTTGAAAAACATGAAGACTCAAAACCGTTCAGACGAGGGCATGGGTAAAATCAGTTCAGATACCGAGGAGAGTGCTGGAATACTGAGGTGACTTCGTGTCACTTGATCACAATAAAATACCTTCAAATACGTTTGATGTGCGTATAATAATAATAATAATAATAATAATAATAATAATAATAATAATAATAAATATGAAGAAGAGTTGAGCTCGTGCAATGTATGGCAGTGCTGGTGCCCGCTAGAATATTAAAGAATGCATTGAAATTTTGAAGAGATTGCTGTCAATTGGTCTTCAACCATTTAATTGTGAATGTGTAAGTATATGGGAATGTGGTTTAAATAGCGATAGCAATATGATGAAAACAATAGGGGTATGTATTTGAAATTCGTTGAAAAATCTCGTTGCAGTTAATCTAGTGGGATGAAACGGATCTCAAAATAATATGGATGATCAGAAGTGAAACTGGACAAACAAACGATGGTGCTAGTGCCTGCGGGTAAACTGAAGAATGTACGAGACGGCTTGCTGTCATTCAGCCTTCTGCATTAACCACTAACATATGATGGGAACATGTAAATAAATAAATGAATAATAATAATAATAATAATAATAATAATAATAATAAAGCGAAAATATCGTGGAGGAAGTAAATGACTCTTGTGCCTACTGTTGTTGGAGAATTCAGAAAATCCTTAACAGCCTTGCAAACCTTGCAAAGAGACTTGAAAAACATGAAGACTCAAAACCGTTCAGACGAGGGTATGGGTAAAATCAGTTCAGATACCGAGGAGAGTGCTGGAATACTGAGGTGACTTCGTGTCACTTGATCACCATAAAACACCTTCAAATACGTTTGGTGTGCGTAAAATAATAATAATAATAATAATAATAATAAAATAATCTCAAAAATGTGGCATATGGGAACATGAACAATCCCTGTTGTAGTTGGAGCCCTAGGACTGGTTGGAAAAGATTGCAGTAGACTAATTGAAGGGATTCCTCCAAGTACAGCCCACATTTTACGTAGGGCTTTATCTATGTATTTTTTTTTTTCTGTCAGTGGAAAGTGTCATGACGCCATTTCTAACCTTAGGTCCCTGGGCGGGACCCGGAAAGAAATGTGTAAACGCCAGAAATCAAAGAAAATAATAATAATAATAATAATAATAATAATAATAATAATAGCAGCAGCAGCAACAACAACAACAACAACAACAGCAACTCCTATTCTTATGAAGAGAATATTATCAATGTAAAGAATATATAAGAAATTTACAAGTTGTGTATCTCTTAACATCAAAATTTGCGCAAACAGAATGCATATATTTATTACATCGCTTTACCCCTTGGTTTCAAGAAAAATGACCCGATCAGGAACTGTACTAAACAAAAAGTAAATAATAATAATAATAATAATAATAATAATAATAATTATTATTATTATTATTATTATTATTATTATTATTATTATTATTATTATTATCAGAAAAACTAACATCATATAACCGCTGAACGTGTCATTGAGATGAAGCGAGCTTCAGACCGATTTTTGAAATCATTTCAAAGTACTTGGCAAAGGGGGAAAAAAAAGATAAGTGAGCGAGAAGTTTATGGGGGGGGGTGAGAGGACATCTTAAGGTCGAAATGTGCAGAAGAATACCGATATGTCCATTGATAAATGCAAACAATGACGTTTTTCATATCATCTCCTTTAATGTCAATGCACTTATCGTTGAAGATTAATAAAATCCAGATATTAAAAAATTTAACAACAATTAATTTTTAACAACAACGGGTCAGGATTCGGACGTTGATCTCCTCTCGTCTATCTCGTCTGTCTGTCTATCTATCTATCTATCTATCTATCTATCTATCTATCTATCTATGCATTTTTTATTCAGATCTTTTTTAATATTTCTATTTATGCACTTTTATTTAAGTCTATCTATCTATCTATCTATCTATCTATCTATCTATCTCCAACACGCGCATATATATATATATATATTTGTGTGTGTGAACGAACACGCACTCACACACACACACGCACTCACACTCTCTCTCTCTCACACACACACACACACACACACACACACACACACACACACACACACATATATATATATATATTAACCAAATAAGTGATTGCAATAAGTTGATTTCTCTTATCATCTGTCAGGTTACATAGATTCCTTGAAAACCCTCCATCAGGCCATAATGTATGTTTTTTCTTTTCTATAATTTTTTTTTGACGGATAAATTCTGTCTAAAATTACACAACACAGACACATACAGATGTGTGTGTGTGTGTGTGTGTGTGTGTGTGTGTGTGTGTGTGTGTGTGTGTGTGTGTGTGTGTGTGTGTTTAAGCTCGTGCCTTGCATTATAAAGAAGAGAAACGAGCAGTCGCTGGCATGTAGATGTGTGCCGGCTCTAAGAGTAATAGAAAGAAAGAAAAAAGTAAAAGAATGCAAGAAAGAGTATTAGTTATGGTGATAGGGATATCGATATTAATATAGCTTTTGCATATTTGCTAAATCTCTCACCCTGTCGGCTGGCGCTTCGGAATAGGCTGATTGCCCCTCTACAGAGGAGTAAATCCTCATCTCCCCCAAATTAGGCGTTCCGGATAAGACAACAAACTACATCCAGCAGCAAGGCCTCTGATCAGGAAGTTTGAATTGCTGGTGTTCCCAGGTCCACCCTGACCCAGGTTGGTAGCACAAACTGGGGTCAAAACACTATGAAAGTGTAAAAATAGGTTTTAGTACCAGCAATACATTTTTGTAAAAAAATATTACCAGCAATGAATTTTTGAAGAAAAAAAATACTACCAGCAATACATTCTTGAAAAAAAAAACAAAAAAAACGATGACAGCAACACATTTTTGAACAAAACATTACCAGCAATAAAAAAATCTTATCGGCATTAAATAACTCATTAAGGTTAATATGACGCAAAACAAAACCAAATCATTTGCTAAATATTTTTCATGGAATACAATAGAGAAGAAAAAACAAACTGTTTTAAACACAAATTATTGAGTCTTTTGATAAATAATTTGATCTACTTCAGTGTACCTTCTTGCAGCGATGTTTCTGTAAAACTTAATGTTAGTGATTAACTGAAAAAAAGATCCGGATTTACAATTAAGATTATCGTAAATAAAACAGGAATAAGAAAAAAAAACATATTTGAGTAAATTTAAAACGATTAACCCTGCTTGTATGTTTTATTTGTGATTATGAATAAAGTAAATTTTGAATGAATTTTTTTATCCGACATTATTTATTACTAGGAATAGACATCAAATGTAACGGTTTTTCTATTTTAATTTTTGGATGAATATTAATTCATAAATTAATAATTGGATAAACTTCTTGCGTGTTTCACGATTATAACATATCTTTAAAAATTTCCCCGTTTTATTGTTAAGTATATTTTGATTTTAACAGATTGAACAAAACTAGTGCAATAACTATAATATGTACGCAGGTCATTATTTTAAAAAGTAGGAGAGGACAAAGGAAAAGATTTATAATTGATGACGTTATTCATTTCACAGGCGCATTGTTGCCTGCTCTATTTTCTATTTCTTTCTTTCTTTCATTTTTCCTTCTTCTTTCTTTCTTTTTTTCTTTCTTTCATTTTTCTTTCTTTATTTCATTCATTCTTTCTTTCTTTCTTTCTTGCTTTCTTTCTTTCTTATTTCTTTCTTTCTTGCTTTCATTTTTCTTTCTTTCTTTCTTTCTTTCTTTCTTTCTTTCTTTCTTTCTTTCTTTCTTTCCCTAAAACTAAACAGCGCGTTTGACTAAACCTTTCTTCCGTCTATCCTTGCAATCAAACAGGAATGGCTCATTCTTTATCTGAGGTAATGGCACGATATAACGTATATGCTAATTAAGGTAAAAGCTGGATTCTAACATGATGATGTCTGTTATTTTTAGTGAGTACACTTGTTTGAATACACGTCATGATAAATAAGCGTAGCCTTATCGTGACGTCCTAATCAATAAGGGGCACGCTGCAGATATAGGATTGGTTTTTCCTGGTGGAAAAAGGAGGATACAGTTTCTTATCAGGAAACGCATTCTTCTTTAGTTGAATTTTTCGATCTCTAGGTCGGTAGGAATTAATTTCGTTGTTTAAAAAAACAAAAAAAACAAACAATAAAAACACCTTAAAACAACAGTTATATTAATAAGTGACGATGAATATGTTTACATATATACTAGTATAATACATAAATGATTAATGGTCAGAGTTGAATTAGACCAGAAAACAGTCGTATTAAAAAGTGCTCAATGCACGTGTGAAAAACAAAAGTTAAAATGACACGTAGAGCTTTCAACTTTAAATATGAGGAGGTCAGTTGAATCCGCTTCGTTGGTTTCAACCTTACGGTATCCTCAGGCGATATTTCTATCAAATGATCACCTAACGCTTCTTTTATTTAAAAAAAAAAAAAAAACACACTAAAGAACGCTACTTTCTTAATTGCAAAAATAAATAAACAAACGTATGACGCTGGGTGCAATAGAAAGGGAGGAATCAACTGACCTCCTGATTTTTAAAGTTATATATTAGTATAGTTAATTAATTGGTTTTGTAGATATTTGTCACACTCATGAGAAATTATTGTTAACGATTATGTATTAATCAGTATATTTTAAATTGCAAGCCTGCAGTTGTATACAAATTCTATCTGACAGATGTATAATTAGAGATGATACATTTTACAGGAAAAATATGCAAGTTTTTAGTTATTGTTAAAAGAAAAACCTTACTTATTATATAGGCAGAGGATTAAACGATATAATTTTTAAATTGATTTTTTATTGAAAGATATAATTTTTAAACACCAGAAAGAAATCCTAAATACAAATAGAATTAAAAAAACAAACAAACATGTCCGCTACAGACCTCAAGTTTTTAGTTATTGCCAATAGAAAAAAATACTTATTATATAGATTAAACGATATAATTTTTAAATTGATTTTTTATTGAAAGATATAATTTTTAAACACTAGAAAGAATACCTAAATACAAATAAAATTTTTAAAAATACTTATTATATAAGCAAAAGATTAAACGATATAATTTTTAAATTGATTTTTATTAAAATATATAATTTTTAAACACCAGAAAGAAAACCTAATTACATATAAAATTAAAAAGAAAAAGAAAAAGAAAACGAACATGTCGGCCACAGACCTCAAGTGCAATTTATATAGTGGTTTTCCAAGCGTAGCTTGGATGTGGCACAAAGCCGAAAGTAAGGGGCACACGGTGAGGATTGAACTCACTCCTCAGTCGTAATTGTCCTAACAAGCTTGCTAATCATTTCAATATTTATTTCTGTAAAATTACAGAAAATGTGGCACAAGGCCTAAAAAAGGGGATGGGGAAAAGGACGGTCTTCATCTGTCTTAATTTTAAACTTAGCTAGCCACAAGCACTGACCCAAGCATATAAACAATATTCCTAACACCAAAACATCACATTCTTACTAACCTTTCTTACTACATCCACCATAATACCTCATTGTCTCAATGAAAATCCTAAATAGTCCCCATATGTACAAATAGTCGTATGTGGGGAGGGGAATAAAACAACAAATTAAAAAGAGCCCCAATGAGTATATACGATATGAATTAATCTATTTAAAAGAAACTAAACAAAAGCATTGTTAGTAATAAAAACCCCAACAATACTTGCTAACCATTACGCCACCTCGAGGTGCCCAAGTTCAATTTATATATATATATATATGATCCATTGTTAAACATGCTAGTAAAATGGTTAGTACACCAGAAGTGATCTGATTCCACCTGTCAGGCTCTATCTTTAGAAGAATCTGATCAGATCCCAAAGGGTATTTTACTCTCATATCTTGACTGGAGCTACATAATCTTTTAAGCAAACTTCGACAGAGCTCAAAAAGCTTTGATTCAAACCTACAACTACTTTTCTACTTACACAATGTCTCTAGTCTATCACTAGTTTGTTGTTCTTTCAATGGAAAATTTTCTGACGAATTGCATTCCTTAGTTCCATCAGTTCAAAGCTTTACAGTTAAGATCCACATGCCATATACACAGGGCAGAATCATCTTCATTCTCTTTGTATTCCATTTGTAAGGAGGAAGATCCATTTGAACAGCTTCTTCACAAGAGCCGCTGCTTTGTGCAACAGACTCCTGTGAGGATGTTTCCCGGCTCATTACAATGTTAGCCGCTTTTTCGACCTATCCACATAATCTGCACTTCTCACCCCCTCCTCACCTCAAACATGTTTAGTAACCCTCTACCTTGAGTAGCTCTTGGGCTTTGTACTGGATGAATAATAGCCTAAAAAAACATAAAAGAATTAAAGAAAAAATGTTTTTTGTTCTAATCAAAGCAAAAACGACGAAGCATTCATCACTTAAGCCGTCAGCTTAGAGGTGATTTCAACAATAAACATACACAAAAAGACACATATTCTCATACCCTCTTTCTTATTCTCATTCCCCCTACTCTCTCTCTCTCTCTCTCTCTCTATCTTGTACTCAATAATTTTCACGCACATTCACTTACTGACTCATACACACACAACGCACTTTCTTACAATTGTCAGTCAGTGAAAGAAAGAAAATTCAGAGAATTAGATTGAGGGCAAATCTTGTGGTGAATTCAGCAAAGCCCACATTATTTCTCTGATTTAATGACCTTCTAATAAAGTTGCCTTCCTTGCAGGTGCTCAACATTTGAAGGCTTAGAAGCGAGTGTCAGGTACAGGGTTGGATTGGCTCCTGAGGACAAGAGTGACAAAAAACCCCCCAAAAACTGATTAGTAATTAAAGGTGACGCCCAGTGCGAAACATGTTCGTTATAAGCGCTGCGTCAAGCAAAGAAAAAAACATTGCATTTGATTATGATGCGTAAGGATTTATATATGTTTTATCGAAAGTCATTGTTTATTAATGCAGAACAGAGCTTGTGCGTGGTGGGGGCGGAGACTTCCTATACAGTATTTTTACACTGAGTCTATCAATTTTAAAAAATTAGAAACCATTTTTTTAATTTTTTTTTAAATGCCTGTTGTTGAAGTTGAGTCAGGCAATCGGTCATTTGAATGGATTTGAAAATATGACAGCTATCTGGATTGAATGCTATCGAGTATTGATGTCAATATTAACAAAATGAAGAACAGAACAAACGAATACACAAAAAAGAAATAAAACAGAAAATGGCGACACTTCAACGCAAGTAGGAAAATAATGAATTGATGTCAAAAAGAGTTACGGAGAATTTCCCGATCCGACGAAGAGAGTCGCTCCTTAATTTTTGAAGTTTGGTTATTTGGTGATGTTTTCGAGAGTAGGTTGGGCTGAGAACTTCTCAGTAATCGACGAATATGAATATGGACGTTAGTACCATTTGAGCCGTCAGTAATTTTTGGCCACACAGTCGTCGGAACTTACCTTAATAGATACTCCTCACTCGTAGTCTTCTGTTATCTCTCTCTCTCTCTCTCTCTCTCTCTCTCTCTATATATATATATATATATATATATATATATATATATATATATATAAAATGACGATTGGAAAAAACGTTCATGAAAGTATGTTTCGCAAAAATATTCGATAATGCATTCGCCCAATTCGGACTTCATCATATCGAAGACGAGAAAGTCTTGTCTATGTATTTGTGTGTTTATTTAAAACAATGAGATCATGTATTCTTCCCAGTCTCGCGTTGCTCGTGACTAGAAAAGAACATTTTCACCAATTGTCATATATTGTATAACTGTGTCGAAATCATTTACCAAAATTCTTAATACACATACACCCACATACATGTGTTTTTGGTATATAGTTTAATCAATTTAATTTAGTTTATATTGGTTCATGTTTTTATCACTTTTTTATTAAGTATTGCACACTGGGATAATAGAAGATATGCCAAGAAAGGTGAAATGTTGTAGGAATCGGGACGCAAATTTAATGTGGATGGTCTAGTAATTAAAGCACTTTCTATACACTTCCGCCGTAGTAAGTTGCTTTAATTTAATATATCACTACTTTTCCTAACAATATTCTGGTATAAAAAAATGCATATGCTATTTACTCCAATATATATTATTCTTTTAAATCTAAATAAATTGTTCACTTGCCAGTAATTTACAATCGTCTGATGAGGTGCATCTATACGCATAGAAACGCGACTGCAGATGTGTAGCGATTTTCACATGTGTTGGTATAATATAATAAAATAAATATTAGCCTACTTTTATACTCTATTCGTTCTCATCTTACCTGGATATATATATATATATATATATATATATATATATATATATATATATATATATATATATATATATATATTTATTTGAGCAGCAAACAAGTAAAATAACACCACAATATTCAAGAAAAAATCCGGTTTTAAAACTTTGGTTTGTACTAAAAAAAAAAATCCCAAAAAATAACTAACTTAATCGAAGTACTTTGTAAATCATTTTCTGTGAAACATACACACACGCGCGAGCGCGCACACACACACGCGTGCGCAAACACACTCGTGCGCGCGCACACACACACATATATATTTATTTATATCATAGATTAGCTGTCTGAACAACTGTTGTAGAAATCTACTATGTGACGATAAAAAATCAGCAATATTTACAGGTAATTCACCGCGAATAATTTTTTGTCATGTACATAGCCTTGTGGCAGACTTCAACGAACTTATAAATGATCTGGATATTCCTCAGCCTTTCAGCGCATCAGCCTGTCTCGCCAT